ATTAAGTAGCTGCAGATCATTTCTACATAACCATTGAACTTCCATTAATTCAGTCTCTAGAGGGTTGTATGTTTATATCATAATTTGACTTTTATAAAATGATTATTCTAAATCTTATGTTTCTATAAAAATATACTGTGCTTTAAAAATATGGATGATAGTATCAGCCGCTCTTTCAGCCACTTCAAAAGCAACAGTTTGTTTAGAAATAAATTAATTATGCAGTTAATGTCATAAAATTCAAATAAACATCAAACGAAAATTCTCAGTTTTAGACAATTCGATTTAAACGAAGTAAAGTAGCAGACGATAAAACGCCGAAGGTAAAAATTTACTCTTACAAAAACTTACTCTTAAATTTTTTTTAAAAAAAAAAGATAGAGAGAAATTTAAAAAAAATAAGTTAAAAATTTGAATAATATCATCTATAATTTAAAAAATAGCCTTTCATATAGTATTAATAAATATTTATTACGCATCATTGAGGGAAAAAAATGTCATATAATTAATTCTCCGTAAAATTTTACTTTACTTGAAGTTTAAAGTTAAAAATAGCTGTGGCAATTCAGTGTAACAAAAATCCATAGACCACATTTGGCGTTATTATCGCTCAAAAAAAAAGATGCCAAATTTCAAAACGCGAAAATATGTAAATTCGTGTATATCTTAGAAATTTTGAATAAAAAAGTCTAATTTTTTGCAGATATGCTTAAAAATACACCTACTTTAAGATGATGGTAAAAATTTTATAGGTTATAATTCAAAATTTTTTTTCGAAAAATTTATAAAAATTATTTAAAAATAGAAATTTAAAAATAAAACACAAAAAATGGGTAAATTTTATTTGGAATGAACCTAAATTTCGAAATGTGAGAGAAAAATCAAAAAAGTTTAATAAAAAAAGAGATATTAATAAATATTTGCCAAATTCAATTAACATTGAGGAGCTAAAATTTTGAGAGCTAATATTTTAAAACTACTACTCGTACGATTTTACAAAACTTGGTATTCTGGCATAATTTGAGTCGTAGAATCGAAATATGAAAAAAATTGGTATGTTATTTCAGAAAAAGTCCGATTTTGTGTCAAAATACCTATGTTAGAGTAGTGCTATATATAAATCTAATATATATCCTAAGTCGCGCTTTCGATACATGAAAAACGCAGTTTGAATTTTGTCAATCGGCCCAGTAGAACGGGAGATATAGCAATGTCCCTTTTTTTTTTTTTTTTTTTTTGAGCAGTGTACATGTTTAATTTTGTCCTAGTTTGAATGATGATTAAGATTTATTATTCATAACTTAGGCAAAACAAGTGCATGACAAGTCTAAGTCATCAAATGTACTCAAAGGGTTAATATCCATTTGAAATCATGGAATTCACTGGAATGATATCAGTATGAAATTACAGCTTCAATTAACTCCAATTTATCATTCAGATACCTTTAAATTGATTTTCTGTGTCAGTATTATTCAAGTCATTTCAATTGATTGAGATTTGGTGAATGGGCATGCCATTTAAAAGAAAACCATCTACTATTTGCACTTTTTGGTATGACGTATTATCATCCTGAAAGATGCAAATCTTGTTTCAAAACATGTTAACAGCTGAAGGAAGCATTCTTTTTTTCAAGCACATAATATACTGGCCCACGTTCAATTTTCATTCTACTGTGTAAAGTCAACCCACTCCATATGCTGAGATAGAAGCCAACATCGTAATAGCAGTAAGATGCTTTACTCTAGCTATAGTGCAATAGTATGAATTAAATCTTTTGAAATGATGGCATCATACAAATGTGACTTTGTAACTGGATGTCAAAGGAAAGCATTCTCTCACCTCTCTAGATATCTTTACAGACCCATGTAGTTGCTTAAGCCTCTGCTTTTCATTAATGAAAGGTTTCTCCGCAGCTTTATGAGCCTGTAATCTATTTTCACTCAGTTTCTGATTTACAGTCCCCATCAGAAACATTAAATGAACAGCTTAAATGCCATTTATGCTTTAATTTTTCACAACTATCATCATCTTTTAAAGATAAACAAATAAGACTTTGGTCATCTTGTTCATTACTTTTCCCTGACCTTCTCTTTTTATGCCAATCTTCCAAATTTCTAGTTAAATTTGAAGTTATTAATGTACCTACTAACTGATGAATGACAACTACCATATTTCACAACTTTGTGTTCTCACTTTACAAAGCGTACGACATTTATTTCTCAAATTTAATTTGAAGATTCCGTAATTTAAATGAAATGTGTAGTCATTAGGCAAATTGTAAGATATTTATCTTTCAAATTTATTCAACAAACTTGGTGATTTAAAAGAAATGTATTGTCACCCAAAATAAAATATTTTTATCTTGCACACGTCTTGCCATTCTGAAAAGAATGCAGGTTATTTAATTTTACTCTCAAATTTAGTCTTTGTTATTGGTTAATGGTCTTCATCTCAATTATTATTAATTACTAGATGTACTTATTAAAATCATTACATTATTTCTTTCTTTTTTAAAATAACTATTTTAGATGGCTGCTGCAAAAGCAACTAGTTTATTAAACTATGAAAATATGATTATATGCTCAAACTACAAGTTTTCACAAGGTATTGCAGAATTTTTGCAACAAGCAATATACAGTCAAAAGTCGTTAATTCGGACACCCATAATCCGGACCTCAAAGGTAAAAACTTTCTGCGCATGCGCCGCGTTGACACATGCGCATAGGCCTTTAAGTGTGCGCGTAAGACCTTTACGACTGCACATATGCATGTGCGCAAGCGCAGAATACGTTTTCGTGTGCGCATTTAATGTATAACGGAGGGTATAAGCTAAAATTATCTAATTATCTATTTCAGTTAATGTTGATGGTTGTGTTGTTCCTTAATCTTCGAATTGGATGTGGCTTATTATTTTTTGCAGACTGTAAGAGCAATTTTATAAAAGTAAACTTGAACTTTCGATTATGTCAAATAGAATTTCCGATGCTGGAGCTCCCAAAGGATCTACAAAACGAAAGGTGTTTCGATGTCCATCAAACAAAAATGGAATTGCTGCAAAAAATGGATAAAGACATGAAGAAGGTGACAGAGAGGTTAGTGAAAACGAAAAAATTTCGATTGACAAATTAGTCGGTATTCTCGGCACAGCAATTACGGGACTTGAACAGCGGAACTTTGTAACTGAACAAGAAATTATGTCTGTTTATAGAATTAAAGAGAAAGTATTATCACATAAAACGAAGTAACTTAAACAACTTACATTGAAAGAAATGTTTAACAAGTAAACAAATAAATATTTAAGCTTTTTTTTTTTTTTTTTTTTGTAAATTTTGATACCCTTTAGATCATAATTGTTCTTTATTTCATAATTAATTATACGTTTCATATTTTAATTTTAGAATTTCTCATGCCATCTTACGATTTAAACTGATGATCTATAATCCGGAAAAATCGATAATCCAGAATCGCCAAAGTCCCGACGAGTCCAGATTAACGACATTTGACTGTATTTACTTTTATATGTATTATAACTTTTATTTTCTATTGCATAATCTGCTGATTAAAATGCACTAAGATGATTTTTGAAGTATATTATTAAAGTACATGCATTTTTCTTATGCATATATTTGGAACAGGTGATTTAATTTTCATGTAGTAGCTATGAGTAGCTTTATAATGTGAGTTGTTAGCTGATGTTAATATATTAATATTTAGGCATATCATATTATGTATTATAAAACTTGCCTATCACAACAGAAGCACAGATCTAACACAAATTTAAATCTTTAAGAAGAAAAGGAAAGTCAAAAGTTCCCTTTAATGAATACAACATGTCTATTTAAAATTTTCGTCAATACCCAAATGAAAACAGAATGAAACCTTTTAGAGAATTTCTAGAACTTTTTTGAAAAAAATTGACTAGTTTCAGTTCCCCTCTTCTTCATTTTCTATAAAATAAATTATTGTAACAAATACTCACTTTTAAAGAATTGATATGCTTCTGACTTGTTCGCATTGTACTGTTAATTATGTCAAGATTTTCTTCAATATTTTTAAGCTGTTCTCTTTGCTTTACTAATTCCTAAAATAAAATTCAAAGGAGTTAATAACTATTAGAACAAGTAAAATTACATACAAATAAGCATAAAAGAACAAATAATTTTCAATAGCAAGATATATAATCTTCTTTTTTAATTCAAAAAATTCTTCGTTTGAAAAACTGTAAAGATGGCCAAAGAAAATTTTTTTTTCACCAATTCAAACATCAGCAATAACTAAGAATTGTTTTGTGGGGGGTACGATAGGCAGATTCTATTTTTTTCTTTAGAATAGTTGTCTTTAATACTTTTCAGCTTCATATGATACAAATTAAGGCATCGTTTTATTTGTAATATTACTCCAACAAGCCCTTTCTCACAGAATTTACATGGTATTTTTTTCAAATAAACTCAGTCACTTTGATCTCTTCATCTTAAGCCATTTCCTATCCTCAACTTCCATCAGTTTTGAATTGGATTGAATTGTTTTATGGCAAATCACACATTTACCTATGCCTTCATGAAGGGCTTTCTACGGGAAACTAACTAGTTTATATTCACATTACATATAGGAAACATTAAAAGAATGCACATGCAGCCAGCTGTTGCCAGAACTCAAACTAATCTGTTCAATGGTCTTAGTCACTCAGCTATACTCTCTTCAATAGACTGTCATCATTTTGGGGAAAACGAATAATCTGAGTCTCAAATTTAAGACTGTATGATCAAAAACCTTCCAATGAAATTTTTTCAACAGTCAAAATTGTGACTGCAAGTTTTATTAATGCGTAATTATGCATTCATTACAACAAACACTATGAAGAAGTGTACTGCACCTACAATTCTGAATAGCATAATATTTATTGGAATAAACATCAATATTCAGGCCTTCTCAAGGAAACAGAAAAGTGATGGGGAAGATTGAGTGGTTATAAGAATTTGTGTATATCTTTTTTATGTCACAGCATAAACACCTCCCCACCAAAAAAAGGTACTATTTCCGTGGTATATAGTAAGTCTCCCCTCTTATTAAAATATAATATATATTCATTGATAGTGGCCATCCAAAACTTACAATATGGGAAGTATGCACTGATATTTATCACTGCTTTGGGACCTATCTTGCATAAATCTACTGTACCTGTATATGATAAGATGCTCTATTTGCTAAGCATCTAGAATTAAATTATCGGAATATGGCAAAGCACATTCAATCCATCTGCCTAAGAAAAGGGTTGCCTTCTTCAAGGACTTTTTAAGGGAAACTGGCTCTTATTTACATCAAACTTGGGAAAAACCACAAAAACCAACCATGCAATCAGTCCATTAGCTTGATTGAACTCAGATAAAACTCCCAGTATTCAGCAGTCAAAACCAGAGCATGCTTTAAGGATTATTTTAGAATCTAGCAATTTCTACAATACCTTTGCAAAGCTTTCAATATATTCTTGGTAGTAAATTGTAACTACTTGCCAGAGACTAAATTATGGGATAATTTCTGGTCACATTAATTTTTTTTAAATCAAAACTATATTTTATCATACTCTAAAAAATTATAGCAGGTTTAAATCCTTATTTTGCAATATATGATTCAATTATTTATTCAACGGGAATTTATTAAAAAAATACCCAATGCTAGTTTAATTTCTGTAACACAATAACCTTAATTTTTATATTTTTTGGACAGATTTTTGTCAGTCTTAAAATTTTAATTCATTTCCTTTTATTACTTCAATGGATCAGCATAATTACTGAAGGGGATATGAGTTTTTTTTTTCTACTGCATTAAAATAGTTCAGAAGAGTATATCAAATTATTTATGGAGATATTGGTAAAATCCTAGTATACAGTGCAGCCTTGGCGCGATTTTGAAAATTATCGCCAACACCAAAAATGATCCAAAGAACGTCTATATATGTACTATATACTATATACTATGTGTGTACATACATAGTATATACACTATATATATAGTATATACTATGTATAACCATATATATTCTTTGAATGACCTGTTTACTACTCATCGTATATGTCGCGTTTTTCTGTTCATCATAAAGTCGCCAAAAGTAGCCAAATCCCGTGTGCACCGGATACTAGGATTAAAACGAGATATTTTATGCTTAAGCGGCTAGTTCTTGATAAATACTGTTTTACAGCATTAATACTTAACAATTTATCATAGTAGCACAACGATGTACTGTAGCCATGACATTTCAGTCAAAATTAAATATTGGATGCAAGTTGGTGATTTAGGCAACTTTTCTAAAAAAAAAAAAAAGACTGCTAAACTATCAGTATTTATTGTATATCGGCAAGCATTATCAACATATCAAACTTTAACAATTTCAAAAACAGATTTTAATTATTAAATAATTAATAAATTAATTTAATTATTAAAAATAATCATGATGCAAAACAATAAAATCATAAAATTGTACAAATTCAGCACTGTGCACCAATCAGGATCATGAACAACTAAAGTAAAGTTAACAGAATAAAATCATTTTCTCACAATAAAGCTGTCAAATTTGGCATACATCTAAATACATTTAGCTTAAATTTCTTTTTAACATTAAATCTCTATTCATCGGAAAATTCCTTACTTTATCTCCATGAGGATCTTTACTTCTGTTTATCTATATTACTAACGCTCTATCTATTCTCCAGATGTTTTATTATGCGCAGAGGGGGGAATCAAATGCACATGCGTAAAGCCTACAAGAAAACGGAGGTGGTTTTGAGATCCGGATTTTAGATCATTCTGAATAAGTCGAGATTTCGGATTTTGTACTGTAGTAGCCAAAATGTGTTGGCTCATCAATAGAATGAATAATGTAATTTTTATCTTGGATCAAATTGAAAATTTCTGTACATTTTCTATTGCTTGCACCAGGGTTCCAACATTGATGTTTCAAATTAAAGTCCCCTCCAACAAGGGAGGGATAATTATAGTCAAGAAGACGTTCAATTTCTGACATAATTGGTCTATTGTTTGGAGGACAATAATAAATTTAACCTGTTTAATTTCTATTTTAATAGAATTACTCCCAAAAGAAGTAGATTGGTTTTATTTAAGTTAGTGCTGTATGCTTCTTTCCAAAAATAAGAGATAATTCCACCTCCTCATCCTGTATTTCGATCAGTTCAGAAAGTAGCATAATTTGCATGTAGCACTTCGTTTGCAGGTTGTAAATGAGTTTCCTGAATTAAAATAATGTCAGGTTCCAATTCAAGAATTAGAACATCAAATTCATCCTTTTTATTGTTTAAGCTATTTGTATTCCAGGAAATAATTTTCATGCTCATCCTTTTTATTGTTTAAGCTATTTGTATTCCAGGAAATAATTTTCATGCTTCTCATATTAAATGTAACTGCAGACTTTATCTATGATGATCTTTATCTCTGACTATATCTTTATCTATGGTGCTGATTTTGTCAATAAGAGATTTTTTTTTTTTTTTCCCATTTCTTTTAGGCCTTTGGTTATTGTTGTCCATATAATTTTTAAGGAACCAAGGTTGAAAATTTCAGAGAGTGAATAATTTGCTTCTTAGGGTTCAAAGATGTGTGCATTTTGATTGACATTTGAATATTGAATTTCTAATTCTGTGTTGAGGGGAAGGAAATCGGTTGATCTTTACTGTATGGTACCCCTTGGTTTCTGTCTGAAAAAAATTGCCAAGTGGTATCGGTTGTTTGTGAAAGCTGGCCCACTGTGTGGAATAGGTTTTTCGGTAACCCTAATGTTGATAATATTGGCAAAACTAGCCTTGAGAAAATTGTGGTTTTTTTTCATTAAAAAGGGGTTATTTCTGCGAATATCGCCAAACATGTGATAAATTTAGATTTTGGCTGTTTTTTGTAATAGTAACCTTTTTGTATGGACCGGATTTGGTTTTCAGTTGCTGTGTTTGCTTGGACGTGCGTGGTATGGTCTTGGATTTTTTAACTTGCTATTATTTTGCTGTGGGTACCATCATTTGAACAAGTCTGAGATGGTTAAGAGGATGAATGTTGATTAAAAGCGGATGAGCCAAAGCGACCCAAAATTTAATTCAACTGCTTACATGGAGGATGAAAGAGATGGAGGCAGGAAGTATGAACGTATGCACATGAAAAAAAAAGTATGTTAAAAAATTGACATTTCATTTATTTATTCACTTCTGAGTGTTAATTTTTGTTAAAAGATTTGTTGTTTAATGTTTTTATGTTAGGAAATATATATTTTTGGTCATTTATTACTCTGTTTGTGCATTTTTGGTTATTTGTTCGTCTCCGAGTGTTACGACAAAGGTGAATTTTTTCTGGTTAACATGATAGCTTTAACTTTGTTTTAGCTTCCTGATTTTGTTTAGGTGAAAATAGATTGATGTATACATGGACAAAGTTAAGGCAGTGCGCAATGTCAATGGAAACACGTTGCAGGTTTATTTTTATTGACTGAACAGTTTTTGGGTTCATGGTTTCCTCCACAGCATGTACAAACCCAATCTCGTACACAAAAGCGAACTATGAAAAAATTGCCAACATTAATAACACTGTGGAAGGCCAGGCTTCCATTTTAAATATTTGGCAGAAACATTTATATGTCCGATCTGTTTTAAGTCAAAGATTTTCATAGCACAGTCCATTTCAGGTATGTGAATTAACCCGTCGTTACTCGTGCCGGCTTCCGAGGCCTGATCAGTCTGTTAAAGCTATGTAAACTCTACTCCTTAATACTGAAATGGACCACACTGAGTCTAGCTGAGTTTAAGGTGACCTTTGACACAAAGGATGCATTTCCGGAATTTTGTTTTATTCTGTTCGGAGAAAAAGCCATTTTTTGGGTTGATGCCCAGCGTGAGTAAATGTGTTTCTAATTTTGAGTTTGAAGTGCATTGAGTTCGATGAAGAAATTGAACGCTTACATACTTTGCTAGATGAAGTATCAATCGATGATGATTTATTGTCTGATTGCAATGAAAGGTTTAGTGAAAATAACACATTATCTGAAGAAGAAATCCAGTCTGATGGAAGAGGAGGCTACTGGTTCTAATT